CTCCTCTGTATAGCTTCCTAAAAACACTGCAGGAGTCATGGGCGGGGTGTGTGGGGAGGGGGGGAGGGGGTGTGCTCTGCCATTAGGAAGTTCGGCTTGAAGACACGTCCCAGGGGCATTTCTGGTACCAAAAGGGGTTTCTGGTCCCCACCTGTCGTTTTGCTCCTCAGCATGGCTGCCTGAATACTGTATGCTGCAGGATTTCTCAAACATGCATGAATGAGTCAAAGCAAGGCTTTGGGCATGTTTTTATCAGAGTATATCATTATAACATGATATAAAATTCAAAAAAGTTGATTTTACATGATATTGCTCCTTTAACATTTGCATATGTTTACTTCTCTAGGCTTATTTGATTACTTTTATTTTGGAAGACATTTARAATGAATTATAGACCAAGAGTTCTTTGAACACAATATATCACCCACAGAGTATGTAATGTAAATGATTCAGCTACTACCACATCAAATTTTAGCTCATTATCTGTAAAGCTGATGCAGCTATAGTCATACATGTCAACTTGTACGGATTGTCCATAAGTTATAAGGATTTTACGTCATTTTGCAGGTATACGGACGTATAGAGCAATCTCACAGATTTTTTCAAGTCTTACGGATTTTTTCAAAACCTCGTTTTCAAATTTATCTAACATGTCAGAGCCTTTAGGATGATTTAAAAAATAATAAATAACATCCAACAGCTATCTTCCAACATGTTCTGCTGCTAGAAATAAGTTTTGAACTTCTTCCTCTCTCCTTTCCTCCTGCTTGGCAGCAGGCGCTTTTGTGTCCACAGCCGTTGCAAAATTTACAATTTTTTGAGGCTCTTTCTACAGGTAAAAGTCCGAAGAGGTTGACATGTAAAGTCATTTTTGTGTTGGAAAATGTTGATTAGCTGTGATGGACATCTTGAATTGGATTGACCCCAACAGATGTTGTAGACATAGAGCCAGATATTACTTCCATCCATCCATCCATCCATCCATCCATCCATCCATCCATCCATCCATCCATCCATCCATCCATCCATCCATCCATCCATCCATCCATCCCCGCTTCCTTTCAGGGTCACGGGGGTCACTGGTGCCCATATCCAGCAGTCACAGTGCGAGGGGCGGGGTACACTCTGGACAGGTCGCAAGTCCATCACAGGGCCACACATAGAGACAAACGAGACAAACAACCATTCACTCTCTCACTCACACCTAGGGACAATTTAGAGTTATCAATTAACGTAACCTAACAGTCATGTTTTTGGTCTG